TTCTCTGTATTGTTTCAATTTTAGTATATGTGCTACCAAAGTGAGCACCCAGCTTTCTTATTATATTATTATACTGACTGGAAGACCCTGACTAATGTTGACTAGGAGCAGTGAACACTGATATTCTTGTCCTGTTCCTCATTCTTGTGGGGCTGCTTTTTTACATTTTACCATTATTTTTTAAGTTTGCTATTAGGTTAAGGAAGTCCCTTTTGATTCATAGTTTGTTTAAAAAATTTAAAAAGTATTCATACTTGTCAATTTTTCTTTTTTTATAGTTGTCAAATTTTTTCAAACTTTTCTGCATTTGTATATTGAAGCTTCCCTGTGTCCTTCATGCTAATGTGGTTAATTACACTAATAGATTTTCTAATATGAAACTACCTTGTATATGAATACTTCAGCTGGTCATGAGGGTAAGTGCAGGCTGAGCAGGGCAGCCTCACTGGGCTGAGCAGAGATGGGAACTCAGGGAGACCAAAGCAGGTAAAATGTGTATAGCAGAGTATTAGAGAGGCTCCTGAGCAGCGGAAGTACTCCAGAAAGCTCGAGATTGCTGCGGAATACCAAATCACCCCTGCACAGCACCCATGTTCATGACCCTTATTGAGAGGTACCTAGAAAACTGTAAATTGAACAATTCCTAGAGCCACACAGGGATTTAAAACATTTAAAATCTGATTAGTTAGACTGCAAAGTCCCTTGTTGAGTCTGTACAGTATCCAGGAGAGACTCCAGACTATTTCTAAGTAAAGGCTATTGAAGACCTATCCAAACAGCTTAAAGACACTTTGAGCTGGACGTGGTGATGCACACCTGAAATCCTAATACTCAGAAGTCTGAGGCAGGAGGATTGCAAATTCAAGTTCTGCCTGGGCAACAGGCTGGCCTGGACTCCATAATGAGAACCTGTCTCAAAAAACCAAACCAAGCCGGGCATGGTGGTGCACGCCTGTAATCCCAGCACTCAGGAGGCTAAGGCAGGAGGATCCTTGCAAGTTCAAGACCAGTCTGGGTTACAAAGTGAGCTCAAGGCCAGCCTGAACTGCATAGCGAGACTTGTCTCAAAAAGACAAAAAAACCAAACCATGATAAAATCAAGCAAACGAACAAAAACCCCTGCATATTTTGAAATAATCAATGTAATTTACAAGTAACTAACCACCTGTTAGAAAACAGTCCAATACTCTTAAAAAGTATAATAGGGAGAGCTAATGGCATCTAATTAAAAAGCACTTGACAGCAAAAAAGAGCAGTAAAATGTGATCTAAAATCAGGAGGAAAATCATTCAACAGAAGCTGACTCCAAAAGAGAGAGAGAGAAAAAAAAAAAAAGAAATGAGAATTACTATAGATTTACTGTCAGAAACAATACAAACCAAAAAACATCAGAACCTTTTTAAAATGCTAAAAGAAAAAAAAAACTATTAATCTAGAATTCTATATCTAGTGAGAATATTCTTTTAAAAACATTTCAAATAAACAAGCTGAAAGAATCTGTTCCCTGCAGACATGCAGTTTAAGGAAATATCAATAATACTCTTTAAGCAGAAGGAAAATAATGCCAGATAGAAATTTGGATGCACACCTAGGAATGAAGATCCCTGGAGATGGGAAATACAAATTTTCTCATTAAAATTTTTTCTTTAAAAGATAATTGACTATTATCGATGGACTTCTGGCTGGAGTTCCAGCACCTATCTTGGACAAAAGGCTGACCTTTGCACCTTGGACCTGCCTTTTCCTTCCTTGGGCAATGAAAACGCAACAAGATCTAAAGAACTCGATTCCTGGACTCTGAATCACCAGAGTCCATACCTGAATTGAACCTTCGGGATACTTTTTTCTTTTTTTTTTTATTTTAAAGAGAGTAGTAAGTGAGAATCAAACAAACAGAGAAATAGAATAGTAGCAGCATGCCAGTATCACAAACATAAACAAATCAAAGCAAGAACATTCAAAGTGATACAGAGTCTCAAGACAAAATAATATGAATCAACAGTGGTTGTTACATTACATATCACTGTCCTCAGCTACATTGCTCAGATTACCAGATGTAAGAATGAAAGATTGCTCAAACCATTATAGGGAATAAGAAAATAATTCTTCGATACAACAGTAGAGATAATACAGAGTTTCACTAGACAAGATGGTAGGAGTTCACCATTGTAATTCCAGCGCATACTGTTACCTTCAAATCAGCTGCTCAGATCACCAGACACAAGCATGCTCAATCGATCAGAACATAAAAAATTGTAAGCATTAACTGTTAATTTCAATACACCATCAGATATCAGCAACACAGTTATTGCAGCCATTCATATATATATTTATATTTTGCATTCCTTCTATCTTTTTTCTTCTTTCCCTCATCCCAGTTGTTCCTTCCTTTGAGCAATTTCTTTTGCTTTCTATCATCTGCTGTACATTTTGAGTTTTACCTAATCTTTCAGGTTCCTACACCAAGAAGACAGTATGATGTTTATCCATCTGGGTCCGATCTATTTCACTTATGAGTATGGTCTCTAGTTGCATCCATTTCATCTGGATATTTTGACACTGAGAAAAAGAATGTATCGTGTGGGCTGGGGATTTAGCTCAGCAGCAAAAGCGCCTGCCTGGCAAGCGCAAGGTCGTGAGTTCGGTTCCTGGTACC